AGAAATCTTCTGCAAGTACTCATAGGTACTAGGGAGTGGTGGAAAAATGTAGATGACCTGTCACAGCGTCGCTGTCACTCAGCTAAGATTACATTGGACATGCAATCGCTGGTTGAACTGAATGATTATTTTGCTGAGTTATATTGGGACACTGAGTATAAGCAACCTACACCTGCCCAAGTGGAGAATGGAGTCCAAGTTCCTGAGATCGGCAGAAAGACAACTGTTTGCGGCTCTTAAAAAACCAGCCACTGGACCAGACGACATACCTTTTTGGGTGAGGGAAGACCAGGCAGAAATCTTTACACCTATAATTTGTAAGAACTGGAACTTGTCTCTGAAGTTTAGTACCTGGCCCTCATCGTGGAAAAGAGCTCACGTAACACCCCTCACTAAGGTTGATGTTCCCAAGGGAAAGACGAATCAAAACAGAGGAATCAATAGTACTCCAGTAATTGCGCGAGCTTTTGAGAAGAGCGTGTATAACATCCACGCGCGGGACACTGTTGAGAAACACTTGAGCTCGACTCAGTTCGCTAACAGAACAGGGGGGAGCTGTATAGATGCACTTATAAGTATGCCGCACATCGCGTACAGCTATCTCGACGATCCTAAGTGCAAAGCTGTGCGGTTATTTGCTATGGATTTCAGTAAAGCGTTTGACAGCGTTAATCACGAACTTTTGTCTATTAAGCTTAAGCAGGTACCATTAAATCCATTTATAATCAATTGGTACTTAAGCTTTCTTGAGAAATGTCAACATCGCGTGATTTACAATAGTTTTCGAGGACAGTGGAAATGTGTTAATGGCGAAATGGGTAACTCGACATAAGCCCATAAAGAAGAAAATATTGTTTAACCTTAAGGATAATTTATTGTCTATACGAATGCCAAGTTCATTTGTCATAATGATCCCTACGGTTTCTCGAAGTTTCTCTCGACCAGGAGGTTTTGATTTGAGGTGGGAGGAATGTTACGGGAAAATTTAATGATTTTTCCGTTGGTTGTTCAGGCATATGTATTCGTTGTTTTCGGTATTTTGGCGTTCTCAATTCATGCGAGTTTCTTTCAGTGCGATGTTTCATAACCTATCGTCACACAAGCATATAACTGGTAAAGAGGCTTAATCTCGTTGATCAATCATTCAGCTGATATATATGTATAGCTACAGTTAAGTTAAGCTGCTTAGGTCGTCAAATATTCGCTCTGGCAACCTCTGGAGCTGTACTCATTTTTCCAATACCTGCTTCGAGGATCGTGTTTTTTCATTGTTAGACTTGAATGCGATATATTATCATCGGTCAATTTCCAAACGAAATATTGATAAAACAGGGTAATCCATTGCTCCAAGTTTGCACCGATTTTAATGAAATGAAGGACAAGTAAGTATAAACAAGTACAATTTGTTTCAATCAATTGTTATAATGTTTCTTTACGATAAAGAAGGGCACTAAAATTTGCCTCGCTCTCGACGCTTAGCTTCGTCGGTCGGTCGGCTCCCGTCACAGCACCAATATTTTTGTAAGCTTCATTTTTGGAATTTCTTTAAATACAGCTAACCCACTAGATCATACCTCGAGTCATTTTAATTGAGAGTAATAGACTGCTGACTTAATTTAATCCCACTTTGGGATCAAAAAAACAAACGACACGC